GATGAAACATAAAACTTTCCTCTAGTTCCTAAATGCTTCTCTCCACCCCATCCCCATCCCCGCCCCCCACTATCATGATCCCAATTCTACCTTGCAAATCTGGCTAGACCAGAGGATGTACACTGATGCAGATAGGAACTGGAAGCACAGGAAATCCAAGACATATGACCCCTTCAGGACTAGTACTGGGAGTGGTGATACCAGGAGGGTGGAGGGAGGGTGGGGTAGAAAGGGGGAACCAATTGCAAGGATCTGCATGTAACCTCCTCCCTGGGGGATGGACAACATAAAAGTGGGTGAAGGGAGATGTCAGACAGTGTAGGATATGACAAAATAATAATAATTTATAAATTATCAAGGGTTCATGAGGGAGAGGGGAGCAGGGAGGGACGAAAAAAAATGAGGAGCTGAAACCAAGCTGATACCAAGGACTCAAGTAGAAAGCAAATGTTTTGAGAATGATGATGGCAACAAATGTACAAATGTGCTTGACACAACGGATGGATGGATGGATTGTGATAAGACTTGTATGAGCCCCCACTAAAATACTTTTTTTAAAAAGAGTTTTTAAAAATCAAAGATTTGTGGAAATAGTAAATCCAATGAACAATAGAATCCAATGAAACCAATTACAATAGACCATGCAAGACTCGGCCTCTGTGACCCTGAGTCTGGAAGACCTGGATAGTGCCCAGCTACGATTACTGACTGCTCTGAAAGGGGTCACATTAGAAGATATCTGAGTACAGCGGGAGGGAATTTTATATATATAACAAAATGCAAAAGCATCTTTTAAAAAGCTGAAGCTTACTGGTCTGAGAGACTGGTAGAAATGCCAAGACTATGGCCCTTAGACACCTTCAAGCCTGGAACTGAAATTACCTTTGTGGATCAATTTTCAGCCAAATGATAAGCCTAGAATGTGACCAATTACATAATACACATAACGCACACTCCTTAGAACCAACCATCTGCAACTGAAAGGGCATCTTTGCTCAGGGATAAAACTCAGAAGACAGGAAGGGGCACGATAGGACCAATGGAAACAGTAGACACAGGGAGGAAGTAGACACAGGGAGGAAGTAGGCACAGGGAGGAAGTACACACAAGGAGGAAGTAGACACAGGGAGGAAGTGGGAAGAGTATTATTCCCTGTGGGAATTGCAATCAACGTCAAACAAAATGCATATGAATTGTTGAATGAAAATCAATTTACTTTGTAAGCTTTCACTCAAATGACAATAAACGTTTTCAACTTTAAAAATTGTTGTTGTTAGGTGCCATCCAATTGATTGTGACTCATAGACAGCCTATGTACAACCAAACAGAACACGGCCCAGTCCTGCACCAGTCTTGTTACTGCTGCTTGGACCCATTGTTATCTAGGGGTTAGTCACATGGGGTGCTATATGGCAACATTCATTGACAGCTCCTAAAAACAGCATGGGGATTATAATTAGTAAGAAATGTCTCGGGCAGGTGAGTTTTGATACTGATTTGTGACTTCAGAAATGCCAAGACAAAATGTTTCACACTGTCCAAGTTTAGGTAAGAATATTTAGTTCGCTGACACTTGCTGAATGGTTCTCCTATTCAAAAAATTTAACAATAAATCAAGAAGATATATGTCAGTTTACTCAATCAAAACTTAGGAGATTTGACAGGGAGGGTACTTAGGAGAAGAACAGAGGCTAGGTATAAGTGAACCAGTATAATCCTGATGAAAGCATGTTTGTAAATTCACAGAGAATATGCCAACAAAACATATAGATGAGATACAAAAACAAGTACTTTAGATGCCACAGTTACGTACCCCTCCAAGAGGACATGAGCTATTGGGGTTATCGCAGGATTCTCCAGTGTTGATGCAATGTGGGCCGAGAATATTGGGGGACACATCTCCCAGATTTGATGAAGCAAACGCTGCTACATATGGTCCCTGGCAAAGAAACATCCAATTGCCTTTTATGCTTTCTTGTTTCCTATAATGATCATGCCCATTAAAAATGCAAATATACAATTCACTCTGGTGAACTCTAAAATCATTTGCAGACAGTCAAAGGAATACGTCCAGTATCAGGAGAAAGATTATTTCTGAAAAGGCTCCCTGCAATCAGTACCTGTATTATTATTGAAAATATTACCATTTCAAATAAAACGGCTTCAAGTTGGACACCTTCAAACTTATACCTCAGACAGAAACATTCTGACAAAACATACAATGTTCAAAGCAAACTCCAAAACACTTAAATCGAGTGTTTTCCCTAAAGCTCAGGAGATCGATTTGCCCTTTCAAAGTAAATATTCTCTGGGCTTAAAAAGAAAAGAGCAAATTCACATTTTCCTGTTTCAAAACTGAACCCAAATATGCTGTCCACTCTCCTGACCTACTCTCCGTTCATCTTTTCACCCTGAAGCAATAAAACAAAACCTTCCAGAGTGGGGAGAGACATTAGCTTCAGTCCCACTGGTCTATGACTCCACCTTCGATCTCTTGGCTTTGTTAAACCACACTCCCTGCCATCGGGTCTCCCCTACAGCACAGGTTAGAACTGCCTCGGCGGGTGTCCGAGACTGTGAGGTTTATGGGAGTAGAAAGCCTCCTCTTTCTCGTTGGGAGCAGCTGGGGGTTTCCAGTAGCTGGCCTGACAGTTAGCAGCCACAAGAGCTCCTTTTTAGATGTCTTACGGAAAGAGATAAACGAGTATTGGAGGGCAGAAGTCTTCTTTGATATAAAAATGATAATGTATCCCAAAATGCTTAGCACTCAGAAGGTGGTCATAAAGATATGCCGATTTTACTTTTCCTAAAACTGTGTGCTAAAGGGGAAAATCGATATCAAAAGTTGTCAACAAAGATGCTAGGAGATCAGACAGAATGTTATTAGGGCTTCATATTAGGAAATGTGCTCTGGAAAGGTCCTGCACGCTCACCTGCACCCTCCCCCATCTCTCACATTTGGCGTGGATGATGGGGTCAAAGAAAACAAGGTCCTTACTCCTACTGTGTACATATGGCCATTGATTTACATGGAGCCTAGGTTTGGGGACCTCTGATCCTGTCACTCACTGGCTTTCAACGTTGTAAGTCTGGTGGGCTAGGGGTGTGTGGACTTAGGGTCGGTTGCTGGAATGGAGAACTGGGTCCTTGAGAGGGAATTCACCATGGAGAGAAAAGGTTCTATGAGTAAGATCCAAGTACTCATCCTTGGTCCTCATTCAGAATTCCAACATTATTTAAAGGGTGCTAAATAACTTGTTATAATTGGGGGGGGGGGTAGACACCCAGCACCATCTATCATATTTCCACATTGATTCAAACCATTGTATATTGCCAAAAAAAACTTGAACTTTTTACCTGATTAAATACAACTTTATGAGACCATCAATAAGCTATATAAAGAAAAGAGTAAATAGTATATTTCCTTCTCTTTTTTTGTTCTTTCCCAGTTTGGGAGGATGACAAATTCTTTCTGTCCAATCACATCAGTCTGTGAAGTTCATGATAACGCTTTATTCTAGAGACCTGAATCTGCTCTTCTGAGCATAGCATGAATGGTCATGCTAATGAATCAAGAAGCTTCCAGTGGCATAAATTCTTACCTCTCCAGGTAGATGTCCCCTGTTCATCTCTTTCTCAAAAAGGTATGAGGCATAGCCCATGTTGTCACTATTTACAAGGTGGTTGCTGTGGTTCATGCTAACTGGATGGATGGAAAACCAGCTGTAAAAGAGCAAGAGACCCAAAATTAATCAAGGCAAACTTGTACATACAGACAAAAGCAATGACTAGTAATTTTCTCCAGCAAGAAAAAAATCACAATCATAGGCATTCCACATTTAGGTTCTTTTACTGTGATGGAGCTTAAATTATAAACTATATAGTCAAAAGGGTAAGCATTAATTTAAATTAAAATATAAAAGTCCATTTCATGAATATTTTATCATTACCATCTTCATCATAAGCTTTTATCAGGGGCCAAGACTAGTCAGTTGCCAGAGGACCTAGCTGAAGAATTGTACAGAGGTAGATCTTATCCTCATACTAATCAGTCAAACCAATGCAAATCAACCATATAGACATGAAGCAGGAGTTTGCTGTATGCCAAATGCTAGGTAAACTATGGTGAACTCTTAGACTCTTCCAAAAGACAGAGATGTGAACAAATGGCTTGAATACCAAATGATAAATATAAAGAAATAAGTATAAAGTGTGAGCACAGAGAAGTTTGCAATTCATTCTTGTAGGCATTCCATGGTTAGGGAATGGCAAAGTAGATTGCCTACATATTTCCATCTGCTTCCTTATTTTAGCATCAAAATCACCATGAGAAGAAACTGGTGGATACAACTTCCATTCTGAATAAGGTACAGAAGGGTGGCCAAATAGTAAAAGGGGCCAGGCCCCAATTCTGGACCTTGTGACTCCCAGTCCAGTGACCTTTGCAGAATCAGACTTCCACGCAAGTGAAAAGAAGATATTTGCACAGTACAAGAGAATAAAGCAGGGAGGTTGTGGTTACGGTTGTTAGGTGCCGAGGAGTCGACCGTGGTCCATAGCAACCCTACATACAGTAGAATGAAATCCTTTCCGGTCCTGCATCACCCTTATAATTGCTATGCTTAAGCCCACAGCCTGAGAGGCTCATCTTCTGGCACTGTATCAGACAATGTTCCACGGCTCCTCCTAAGACATGCAGTGCTAACCCCTTAGAGATGGATCACCCATTCCTTCTTATGAGTCTATTCTTAATCTGGAAGCTCCATTGAAACTAGTTCACCAGCAGTGACCCTGCTGGTATTTGAAATGCTGTTGCCATAGCTTCCAGCATCACGGCTACACACAAACTATATGACCAACCGACAGAGCAGTGGTGGAGGAGAGCGTCCTGGATAGAGTAGGAGAAAAAGGCAGAACACAGCTCAAAATCATAAAAGAACTATGCTTATTTGTTGGATGGTGATGAAGCAGGCCCCCAAAACAATAGCCCTTATCGCCCTTCAGGTCTGGGACTAAGCCCACTACTGTGTTAGGATAACCAATCCTTTTAAGATCAAAAGGGTAGCATTTACCTCAAGACAATATTCAGCGGGTTAAGGAAGGAGGAATAGCAATAGGAAACCTCCCTCACAGTACTGCCTGCCAACTGCTTGGAGGAAGAAACAAAAGGGTGTTTCTTGTATTCTACTGGAGGGGGGATGCAATGAAGTGCATCATTTAATATGGCTCTTCCAGCCATGGCTGTTGTTACTCTCACTGAATGCCTTTTCCTTGATGGATCTGGACAAGAAGTTGAGGAAATACACTGATTGTATTTGTACAGTTCAAATCCACCAGCTGTTCCTTGGGAGAAAGACAGGATTTCTGCTCCTGTTAAAATTTACAACTTTGGATTGTATGACACTCACCTTCCTGACACAATCACAGAAGACAAAGCGGGTGCATAAGCAAATGTGGTGAAGAAAGCTGATGGTGCCTGGCTATCAAAATATATAGCATCTGGGGTCTTAAAGGCTTGTAGTTAAACAATGGCCAGCTAGCAGAGAAGCAACAAAGCCCACAAGGAAGAAGCACACCAGCCTGTGTGATCATGAGGTATCAGAAGTTCAAAAACAAGCAAACAAATCGATGTGAAGGGGTATAAATGTAGTGGAGACTCAAAACCCATCTGTAAGATAATTGGACAGTCCCTCTCAGAAGGGCCACACAGAAGGGATGAGAAATCAGGGTGTAATATAGCCTTGAGGAACCACATAACTATCCTCTAGTTCTTTATATTTCCTTCTCTTACTATTATGGTTTTTATTTGTTTTATTTCATTAATCGTGCTAGATTTGCATATATTCATTTATATATTTAAGATTGTTTGGTACTTGAAAGGCAAGCTAGATAACCCTTTAGAAATAGTAACAGGAGTAATGGTTGCCTGGGGGTATGGAAAGAGAGTGGGGGAGGGGGGAATTGGGAACTGATAGCATTGATGATTGTATCCCCACTTAATGGGATCAAACAACAGAATTGTGTGTGAATGGATATATTGGATCTTGTAAGATATTGGCGGGGAACTATTATAGGGAAAAAAGGGGGGCTTCTTGGTGAGTAGGATCAGGGAGGGAGGGAATAAAGGGGAGTTGTAATCAAGGAGTTCAAGAAGAAAGAAAACATTTTGAAACTGATGTGGTGGCAATTGTACAATACTGCTTGATGTGATTGAACTATGGAATATTATATTTCTGAGGGCTCCCAATAAAATGATTAATTAAAATTAAACATACTTTTTTTAAATTACAGTCTTGGAAACCCACAGGGAAAGTTCCGCTCTATCCTATAGGATAGCTAAGAGTCAGAGTCAAGTAGATGGCCAGTGAGTTTTTATTTTAGTGTCCTAAGTGAGTGGTGCCAAGTAAGAGTGTCCTTCACATAATGGCTTTTTAGTTCTCATTGCATATTCCAGATAGGAAAATAGACAATGCACCTGAATATTAGCAGTTGGTTAATTTGCAGCAGCACAGGTTTAAGTGATTATTTCCTTTATAATGTCTCTACTTTCCAAGCTCTCGATGATGATTGTACTTTATTTTTATACCAAAAATAAGGAATAGAAAAAGAATAATAGCCTTTGAGACTTCCTCAGGTTAGGAATTTGCCAAATATCCAACAAGCAAGTGAGTTCAACGTCTTCTACAACTGATTTTTATGACCTTGGTCTCTAAACGTGGGGCAATTTATCACACAGACCTCATTTATCTCAGCTGCCAATCAAATATGGTCACTTTTGTCATAAATATATCTGCTCAGCATCTTCACTGAAGTAATTTATAAAAGTGAAACCCCAAACCAAGACATTTGACATGACCAAATGGCTGACCTAACTATAATTCAAACCCCATATTGAGTCTAAGTCATTGCAGCTTGGCCTAAAATCGCTGCTTCAGCTGCTCTGAAGACCCATGCAGCTTCTTCTAAAAGAATAACTGCTCATAACTCTAAGAAGAATGCCTTAGTCAACATGCTCCCAGAAGCTGGGAAATTGAAATGACAATATTAAGAAGATTCATAAAAGTGAATAGGCTCACTGTTCAGATTGAGACCGGTAGGGTCTCCAAGACTCTGGCCTTTGTCTTTCAGGGCTGGAGCGGCACACACCCGCGTGAGAGAAAAATCAATCATTTCAGATGAAAAGGGCAGCCCGCACCCAAGAACAACGTTAGGAAAGAGGATCAGCAGAGAAGGAGAAAGGGCAACCAGAAACAGGGTGGAAGTGGAATCACTGATAGCGAGTAGGGATGAGTTGAATCAGAATGTGTATGACTTGTTCACAATAATACTGTGATCCACTTGGAAAGCCTTCATCTACTTCACAACCCAAAGTTGGGAAAGAAAAAGTCATTGCACAATGTCGTTGTAACTTCTCGTCCTGTACCCTTCTTACTTGTGTGCATGCCGTCCTTTGTTGACTCCATCCAATAAAAATCCAACTCTCTACTTGCCATGTGGAGCACTAATACCCTGCCTGTGTGTGTCAGTGTTTGCCAACTCTCCAATCTCTTTACCTTTCAATAAAACTGGCACTGGCCTAACAGAGTGCAAGCCTAGTGCTTCGCTATAACTGCAAGAACGGGTCAAATGCAGGATGAAGACTCGCTGTGTAACCATGTCTGCGTTTCCACTGGAAAGGAATAACACAACCATGCCGATAGGAAAGTTGGCACAGGAAGCCAGCAGCGTGATTTATAACCACGTGGATGATGGGGAGTGTTGCTGCTGTTGTTAAAACAGGAAAATGCCTCACAATCAGGGAGTAGGTTCCCACTCCAAGTGACCCTACAGGACAGGGTAGAATGGCCCTTATGAGTTTCTAAGACTGACTCTTTTTCAGGGGTAGAAAGCCTGGTCTTTCTCCCTCATCCACTACAATGGGACATCAAGTCAGTTCTGACTCATGGCAATCCCATGTGCAATAGAACAAAATATTGCCCGGTCCTGGGCCATCCTCAGAATTGTTACATTGGAATCCATTCTTGTAGCCATTGGATCAGTCCATCTTGTCAAAAGTCTTCCTCTTTTCTGCTGACCCTGTAGTTTGCCAAAAATATCCTCTTCCAGGGGCTAGCCCTTCCGGATAACGTGTCCAAAGCACAGAGACAAAGTCTCACCGTGCTCCCTTGTAAGGGGCACTCTGGATACACTTCTTTGTTGTTCTTCTGCCAGTCCACAGCAGTTTTCATCTGCTTCTCCAATACCATAGTTCATGTCCAGCATAAGATGGGCAAATTCAGTGGAGTTTATAGGAGCAGAGGGCTCTAACCAAGCCCCTCGTCATCTAGCTGATTCATGGCGACCCCAAGCATTTCAGAGTAGCACTGCTCATGAGGTTTTGAAAACTGTGACCTTTCAGAAGAAGACTGTGAAGTGCTTATCTTGGTGTGTCTGCCTGTAAGCAGTGGGTTGCTAACCCCAACATTGGTGGTTCAAGTCCACCAGTCATTCAACAAATGAAAGATCAGGTTCTCTGTTCCCGTAAAGCGTTATAAACTCTCGAAAATACAATGCCGAGCCACTCTGAATAGGGATCAAGTCTACGTCAATGAATCAGTGAGGTTTTTCTTCTAAGTCACCTCTGGTACATTGGAATCACCAAATCTTTTCATTACTTAAACTCCTGCGCTGCCTGGGACTCTTAAATAAGGATTGGGGCTTTATAAGCCAGAGTTAATGATTAT